TTTTTTTTTTTTTTTTTTTTTTTTTTTTTTTTGGACAGTGTTTCTCTGTAGTTTTAGAGCCTGTTCCGGAATTAGCTCTTGTAGACCAGGCTGGCCTCAAACTCACAAAGATACGCCTATCTCTGATTCCCAAGTGCTGTGATTAAAGGCGTGCGCCACCACCATCCAGCTCAACTTACATTTTCTTTCTACCAAACAATGTATCTTGAACACATTTTTCATGTCAGTAACCGGTTTGGCTTTCTTCTCAAGTGGCTGTGTCCTGCCAAGGTTAATCCCTTCTGTTGATGGACATTTTGTTTGTCCAATGGGAATGCTGTATGTAACACTAGCTACAATGAATAGTCTCCTGGCTACATCACTCCTGTGAGTCAGTTTGTCTGTCTGTCTGTCTCTCCCCTCTCTGTCAGTTTAATGTAGCCTAGGCTAGCTTTGAACTGTGTGTGTGTGTGTGTGTGTGTGTGTAACTGGTGATGGCCTTGAACTCCTGACCCTCTTACATTCATCTCTTCCAAGTGCTGGGATTAAGTGTATACACACCATGCCCAGCTTCCTTGTGGGGCACTGTGTGTGGAACTTTCTGTAAGTGAGATTGTCAATTTATGGACAGTGTACATTTTGTATTTTAGTGGTACTTCCAACTTGGCATCTGAAAGCTTGCTGATGTATTTGGCCCAAAACCCACGAATGGAGAGATCTGCAGATACACAAGCGGCAGACACACATGCACACATCACGCACACATGCACGCACACGCCTCCCACACTGTCTTCAAGCTCGCCTGGATCCACTGACCCGCTCCAGGGACTGGAAAGGGATTGGCTCCAAGGCTACCTCAGCAGAGAAAGAACCCACCAGCCACAAACAATCTGCACAGTGTTTAAGTCTCCACAGGATGTTTGCAAGAAGCACCAGCTCCTAGGTTAAAAATATCCCGTGCCGGAGGGGCTTGAGTCTGTCTCAGAAGAGAGCTGCCCCACAGTCCCAGGCTTCTCTGTCACTAGGGGAATCAAGGAGACCGATTGATTCCTCTCCTGCCCCCACAGCCCCATCACACTTTGAAGTCAGACTTTCTGTGTTCCAATCTGGCTCCATTATTCACTGGCTGTGTGACCCTAGGCCACACAATTAGTGATTCTGTGTCTTGGTGCCCATGGCTATAGAAGGGGAGTCATGGTTTTCTCCTAGAGGTCATGGACCTCCACCCTGGCTGCCAAGTGCCTGCAGAGCTAAAAAAAAAAAAAAAAAAAAAAAAAAAAAAAAAAAAAAA